ATTTCTTCATTCGGGGTACCTTCCACAATAACCACGGACCGAGGTCGACAATTCGAATCTACATTATTTTAATCACTAACACAATTACTTGGAACCAAACAAATTCGTACAACTGCATACCATCCGATGGCAAATGGACTTGTCGAACGATTTCATCGCCATTTGAAAGCCTCTCTCAAGGCATACAATGACCTTACAAAGACCCTACTTCTAGGAATTCGCACTGCATTTAAGGAAGATCTTGGACACTGTGCGGCAGAGCTTGTGTATGGTACTACATTACGATTACCAGGACAATTTTTTGATAAACATTCTGAACTTACTGATTATCCTAATTATGTGCATAGATTACGTGATATAATGAGTAATTTTTATCCCCTCCAACCCGCACCAATCCTAATCGTAAATCTTACATCAGTCAGGATTTACTAACTTGTACTCATGTGTTTGTTCGTAGAGATTCCGTTCGTAAACCATTACAACATCCTTACGATGGCCCCTTTAAAGTTTTACGAAGAGCCGACAAAAACTTTGTTCTTGACATAAATGGTCGTCGAGACACTGTCAGCATTGACTGCCTAAAAGTAGCCCATTTAGATACGGTTACAGTACACACACCCACCTCCACCCTTGAGCCTAACAATTCCCCACAGTTAACAGCCCCTGCTCAGGTAGACCCTCCCCCTACACCGCCCAGAACTACCCGATCCGGTAGACGTGTTCATTTTCCTGACCGTTTCTTATCGTTCAATCGTTAACTTTTTCACTGGTAGGGGGCTCCTGTAGCAGTAATACCACTGTAAATTTGTATATAGGATCTGTGTGTAAATAATATCTTGCATTTTTAACTAATATCCCAACTTCATGGGTTATACACCAAACTTAGGAAGGTCATTTACCTTACAAGGTCATTTGCCTTAATTCAAGTGACCACACATCATTTGGGAATGATTTTTTTAATTTTTGATCTTAGTTTTTTTTTTTTTAGTTTTTTTAGTTTTGTTAACTTGCTCAGATTCCCAGTAAACGCAGACATTGGATTTTATCTTATTAAAGTACACCTATACTAGTTCACCTGAACATAAAAAGAAACCAAAACAATATATCGTAACATAATAAAATCCCCCCCCAATATTTGAAAAGGGGGGATGGTCCATTGTATCACCCCCCCCCCAATATTTTGACTATGTATGGGATAAAATGGAGCTTTACACACTTCAAAAGACTGTCACAGAAATAATTTGCACTGTCTTATGCGCTTACAAATATGAAAATTAGCATAATGAAAGTAACATAATAAAATAAGACTTATTTGTTTTCCGGTGGCTTTTCACATGCGTTGCGCCTTTGATCTTGTTTAGAATTGGCAAATAATAAAAAACATTATAATATGAAAATATTTATATGGTATAAAATGATAATTTGATTTACATGTATGTATAAATAACGTAACAGGTAATAAAAAAAAATATTTAAATGTTTGAATTTGAAAGTATGCTATACTACTATTAGTTAGGCCTGTTTGTTGTAAGCCTAGCCTATATATAAATAGCCCTTATATATATATATATATATATATATATAAAACTGGAAGGCTGCATTGGCAAACAAAATAGATAAAACAAAAAACTCCGGAGAGAAAGTAATAAGTTGCCAGGTATATATT